CGTCTAGAGGGGAGGAGTTCAAACAGATTGTGTCCCAGGTGTGAGGGGTCTGCAGTGATCCTTTCTGCCCTCCTTTTGACCCATGAGGTGTACAAGTCCTCCATGGAGGGCAGGCTTGCACCAATGACCTTTTCTGCAGTCCTGGCTGTCCGCTGAAATCTTTACTTGTCCTGTTTGGTTGCTGAGCCAAACCAGACAGTGATGGAGGTGCAGAGAATGGATTCGATGATTCCTCTGTAGAACTGTATCAGCAGCTCCCGGGGCAGGTTGAATTTCCTGTGCTGGTGCAGGAAGTGTCCTCTGCTGTGCCTTCTTGATGATGGTCCTGATGTTGGACATCCACTTCAGGTCCCAGGAGATACTGGAGCCCAGGAACTTGTAGGAATTTACTGCTGATACAGTGCTGCCAAGTATGGTGAGTGGGGGTAAGGTGGGAGGGCTCTTCCTGAAGTCCACAGTCATCATTACTGTTTTGAGCATGTTCAGCTCGAGGTTGTTGCAGCTACACCACAGGACCAGCTGCTCAACCTCCCATCTGTAGGCATCTCGTCACCATCTCGGATGAGACCAATGACCGTTGTATCATCAGCAAACTTTTGGAGCTTGACAGAGGGGTCCTTCGAGATGCAGTCGTTGGTGTAGAGTGAAAACAGCAGAGGGGAGAGCACACCCCCTGGGGGGTGCTTGTGCTTATTGTCTGGGTGCTGGATGTGGTTTTCCCCAGCTTCACCTGCTGCTTCCTGTTTGTCAGAAAGCTAGTAATCCACTGACAGGTGGGGGCAGGCACAGTGAAGAAAGCCCAGCAGCGGCTATACTTCATCAGGCGCCTCAGAAAAGCTGGGTTGAACTGTTGCCCTCTCACCGAGGCTTATAGACGACTGGTAGAGCGCGTCCTCACCACTGGCATCACAGTCTGGTATGGTAACACCAAACAGGCTGGGAATGCTCTTCAAAGGGTCATAAAGACTGCAGAGAGGATAACTGGGACTGAACTGTCTGCTATGGACACACTGTACACACAATGCTGTTGTAAAAGGGCGGAGAACATACTCGGACCCCCGCCACCCAGCTCACTCCCTGCTCAGACACAAAAACTGCACCTACAGCCTCAGGCACAGCAGGGCAGACAGTATAATCATACACAGAACTAGATTTTACAACAGCTTCTTCCTTGCCACAGTAAGACTGATGGCAAATGTGAGAATATATGTGTGCAATAACCCCTTACTAGACATGTGCAATAATAATAATACAGAAATGTTCCACAAGGTATTTTTGTAAGAACATTTCATCAACAGTGTTCTCTTGTGGGACCCGAATAATAGCAGGACATTCTCTACCAAGCAATGGAAACGGGCCTGAATATAAACTGTGTTTTAATGTGTTATAACCCCTCACTACCTCAGCAAGCGTAATGACATATCCAACTCCACCATGTGAATTACTAAGTGTGATGTTTGAAGTTCACTGGGGAAAATGCCATTACCCTATTTTTGTGTTTTGCGTTTTAATGCTTTGTTGCCTTTATGTAACATTTTTATTTTAAGGGTACGTTTACACAGAAACGCTCTTGACTGTATATGCATAGTTTCGTTAAAACGATTGCTGTGTAGACGGGAAGTATTTGCGTTGACATGAAAACAGTGAAAACGAATAAAACAATGGCTGAGCATGTGCATTACCCTTGAAGACGATGGCGTCATTAGTGACTTCTAGCGACTTTTAGGACAGCCAATATCTACTTTCCTTGCTGAGGAGTTGGCCTCCGCGGTGGATCTAAAGACATGAGAGCTACGAAGTTACCAACATTATTTTGTTAGTCGCAGCAGTAGTAAAGGAGCAGTTGTACTAATGCTAATAAATTCATTAGCATCTGTGTGTAGCATGAAAGCATATAGTTCGCCATTGTTTATGTTGATGTCGCAGTCAATGTGACACCAGCAGTAGCTGACGCGGGGCGATGGCGTCATCGTTTCGTAAACATATGCGGATTATAACGTTGACACAAAAACGTTTTAGCTGGCGTTTTGAAACTCTCCACTTTGGGACCTGTTTTAAAAAGTCTCCATTTTCGCCACCCGGCTAACCTGTTTTTGTCTAAACGGAAGGCCAAAATGCATACTAAAGTAGGCGTTTATAGTCAAGAGCGTTTCCGTGTAAACGTACCCTAAGTGTTCCTTCTGGTTTTTGACTCGTTGCCTGACTCCAAAGGAGAGCTGCACAAGGATTCCTATATGCCTAGACTGTCTGTTTATGTATAAATGGCAAATAAAAATCTTGACTTGACTTGATTTGAAATGAACTGAAAAACTAAAAAGTGACTAGGACAACAAAATATGTGTTTACTTCATTTGGATTTAAACAAAACCATGAACCTTCCCTAATTTCAACCAAAATATGTTTGTTGCATAAATATGTAATCCACATGAGGCTCAGGATGTAAACCCTGTGCTGCACTGGTCACAGTTGGGTTGCCTTGGGCATTCTCCATCTAACCCAACCATCTTCCTACAGCTCCAGTGCAGTAAAAAAAAAAGTTGCACTTCCATGACTAAACAGTACTTTGTCAGGGAATATAATCTAGCAATCAGTTATTTGTTCCTATAAAATTTAATTAGGAAACCAAGTTAGTAGTACAGATGTGACTAAAAGGGTTGGTACCCATCCATTTTGAAAAGAAAAACTACAAATTTCTCTGAAATCGACAGAGGTAGAGTCACCTTTTCCTGTTTAGGGGTCGCCACAGCAAATAGTCACACTGACGACTCGCATGTTGACATTTGGCACGTGTTTTACGCTGGATGCCCTTTCTGACGCAACCCTGACTCAAAGAAGATTGACCAGGTTTTTGCTGAAGGGACCTGTTAGCTATCTGGCAAGCTAAAAGCAGTTACCCAAGTTAGCGAGGCCAGAATAGTGAAAAGACATCTTTCTACGGGCAGCATAAAGAGAGTTATACAGAAATATCAACCTTCTTAGACGAGGAAAGCAGCAATGGATAGCAAGGAAGAAATGCTGGAAACACAATCACAGCGCTCAGGCGCCTCACGTTCCAGTCAGCGTTCCTCAGCCAGCCTGATAGCAGCACAGGCAGAGGCCGCACAAACATTAGCATCGTTTGCTCAGAAAGAAGCTGACTTGATTAAAGCTCAAGCTTATATTGAAGAGGAAAGACAGTTTCACAGTGTTTTCTTCAATAAAAGTCCTAAACCAAAGAAGATTGACCAGGTTTTTGCTGAAGGGACCTGTTAGCTATCTGGCAAGCTAAAAGCAGTTACCCAAGTTAGCGAGGCCAGAATAGTACTCTATATTCTAAATATGTTGTTTGCTTGGTTTTGTGTGTTTTGGCCACATTTTTCCATGTTATTTGTATATTTTGTTATGTCTAAATCAAACCAAACCAAAATGCTAAATTTAAGCGCATAGCCCATGCACATTACAGACAAATGCCAAAGTCATTCACCTTAGCTCATGGATCAGAGCGATAACAGTGTTTGTTACCACATTATCGTGTTTAATCTTCTATCAAGGCTTTTTCATTTAGGAAATATGAATTACTGCTGATAAAATATTCATTGGGATGTGTTATCGTTTAAAGCAAACATGTTAACAAGAATACAAGTACATGCAGTAGGAAACTGCAGAACACTGTTCTCCTGTTACAGTATATGTATGAAAGAATGAGATATGATGCACTGAATTTCAGGCCCTATGGTCACTTCATATGACCAAGTATAGATAGGCTTTATTTTAAAAATCAGTCATCGAGTCTAAGCCAAGCAAACCCTGATGACATCATTATACTTTTACTCCAATACATTTATTTGAAAACTTTAGTTACTAGTTTTTTCCCTCAGAATAAGATGAATATTACAAAATGCACTTAAATCATAAGACTTTATTGATCCTCGGTGAGATAATCACATTCTCCAGCAATACATACAGTAGAGTAATTCAAATTATAAGCATATAAGGCAGCTTACTCCTCAACACTGGCAGTGCCAAAGTACAGTAGCTTCAGTCCACTACAGTCAGATCAGGTCACAACCTCTACACAGATCCAGTGAGAACAGGATCTGAGAGCTAACATTACTTCCAGTTTTACTCAGTCTCTGGTTCTTCACAGATCCAAGCCTTCCTTTTCACAGGGACTCCATCACTGATACGCCTTTTGACCCCCTCTTCAGTCCTGGGTCTGCATTTCATGAATGTTACATTTTCTCCTCCATTTCCAGATCCTTGGAACTGGAAGGCCCTCTGAGCTGCGTCAGCTGAATGAGAGCTCCCAGAATGCCAAGCTCTTCTTCTGGGGAATTGTCTAAACCCAGAAGAAATTGCAGGATACAAACCATAGATTCCAGACATGGGTGTGACTGCTTCTGAAGTATGGTTGTCACTATACATCTGAGGTAGGACTGACTCAGACTCTGAGCAGGAGCAGGGGGATGCAGCAGAGGAGGGAAGTGTGGAGAAATTGAAAGAAAAGGATGATGGGAGGGAGACTCTTGGCTTGGTGTAAAGGAAACCTGTCTTCCTTTTTCTAACTTCTCTCGTTACCTTTCCTTCTCCCTCCAGTTCCTTTGACTTTGCTGACTCTCTGAAACTTTCTATTCTTTTCTCTTTGTTAGTGATCCACCTCTTCCTTCTCCTGGTCTGAGACTCCACTAGCTTCATTTCCAGGTCATAAACATCCTCACTTGTCTGGTTGACGCGGTCAAAACAAGACAGCAGAGCACTGACACAGGGCACCAAGCGATCCAGGTAGGGTTGGACATCGAATCCAGGCTCAGACACAGATGAGTCCTCAGACCTTACAGAGAGAGCTGAGGACAGGGGACTGGGCGAGGAAAATGAATTGGACAGGGAAGGGGAGTGGGAGGACAGGAGGGTGGAGGAGAGAGTGGAGAGACGAGATTCCTGGGAGGATCTGGAAGGAGGGATGTCCATGCCTTCAAACTTCACCCTGTGCCTGAACTGGAAAGAAAAAATAAATGTGTGAAATGACCAACCTCAATTACCCAATGCTCAGTGCACTACAACTGTCTAACCTCCTTGGCCTTGGTGAGTCCCATCCACAGCTTGAGTCTCTTGATGAAAAACTCCACCATCTCATAATCCTGTGGTTCAATGGTTGGATGGTACAGCTTAGCCCGTTCTGTCCTTCAGGACACAGCAACAGTTAGCAATGAAACTCAAGTATCTCAAGAACTATTTGATGTAGAGATGTACTGATCAAACAGATCAAAAATGAGTGGTTTTCAGCGTGGTCGGCCTTGACCAGTGACCGACTGATAACGCCAAGATATTCGATTCTGTGCCAATTCAGAGGCAGATTCAGATTCAGAGGGGTGACAGTTCATGTTGTGTACATAGTGGCACAGGCTGAAAGCATAGCTTGTGCAGCGTGTAGCATCTCACGTGCACATCGAGCGAGGCTCACGCTCATGTACTCATTTGTGTTGTGCACATCGAGCAAGGCTCACGCTCATGTACTCATTTGTGTAGATGCACTTCCATGGTTACGTGGAGGTTTATTTTTATTACGATTTTATTTTTCATTAAAGAAAAGTTACACAACTACATGCTGTCAATTATGGTTCTTAGAAAGAAAGAAAATTGGATTGGATAAATTGGAAAAATCTGAATTTGGAATCAGCCAAGAAAGCTACAATTGGTGCATCTCTCATTTGATGAAATGCATTAATGAGAATGAACTTTAACTTTCCCCTGACATTTCATCTAATGCCACCAGCAAGTGAAAATTGTCACTCATCCTGTGAAATCTAGTATGAGAACATCTACTAGATGGATTTTATCTGTCACAGCTCCCAGAGGAAGTAGAGTAATGACTTTTGTAAACCATTTGGTGATCCCCTGACTTTTCCTGCAATGCCACCACAAGGCTGAAATATGTGGCTCTGATAGAAATGTCTCAGCAATTAGTGGATGGATTTGCTGTAAATAACGGTTTAGAAATGAATGCTCATCAGGTCAAATTTTAGCCCTTGATCAACTGGTTTATGATCAAAACACCTGCAGAACTAATGTTATTCCCATCAGCATCTAGCATACAGCAGTTTTTGTTCAATTATAATCAGCAAATGTTAGAATGCTAACATGCTAAACTAAGTTAGTGAACATGCTCAATATTAGGATGTGAACACTTTCAGTTTGCACACTTTAGCATGCTGACCTTACCACTCAGCTAAAACCAAGACAGGGCCTTTGTACAGCCTCACGGACCTGGCAGTATGGCTGTAGACTCTGTATCTGAAAAACTGTTCTGCTACTTATTTACACATTTCTTAAGTCAACAAGGTTTAAAGTGAGTCACTCCACATTCATAATTTTGCAAATAACATAGATCATCAATCTTACCCACATATACACATAGGTTATATTGTGTACCTGTATGTACCAATGAGAACAGCTCCACAGAGTCTGGCCAAGAGCCAGAGACCTCCCCCCATCAGCAGTAGCCCATAGAGGGGGCCCAGTAATGGGTGAACCCTGCATACTCTTTGGAGAACCATTCGGCCACGCAGGATGGACAACACTGACACGCTGGCCTCGGGCACAGATAAGAAACCTTCCACTGAACTCGAGAAGAGCTGATACAAAGACAAAGCTATATCAAGTACACTTCTTCTTTATAAACATTCTATAAAGTTGAGCTTTTCTTTGTGTACCGTATTTCCGAGGTGAGTGCAGAGCATCAGCAGCAGCAGCAGTAAGGCGCTCAGAGCCCACAGCTCCCTCAAGGCTCTCAGCAGCACTCTGCTTATCACCACCCACCTCCGCACAAACCTTAAGGTTCTCAGCAGCTGGGACACCCAGAAGTGGAAATGAGCAGAGTTCCATTACAGTGGTAAAGCTGTGGATGACTGTTGTCTCATAACAATAAAAGCAGTGTTTTCATGTACCTTCAGAACAAGCACAGTGAGCAGGATAGCTGCACACTGAGAAGACCTTTGTGCCAGAAGGGCAGCACTGTGGAAGTTGATGAAGTCATCTGGTTTGGACCGAAGCTAGATGGTATATATCAAACAATACATTATGTTAAATAATCTTTTTTAAACTATTATTATTTTTGTTTACTACTAAGTCCAGGCAGCACATTAGTCAAAATTTGTCTCACTGAGCTTGCAAGGGCCTGCTCAGTTTACACTGATGTGGCACATAATGTCAGTGGATACAAAAAGATTTCTAGTCTTTTCTTGTTGTTGTTCACCTTGGAAACACATGAAGAGGAAAGAGACAGGAAGCGGAACTGCAGGATGGCAGTCGCCAGTGACAATAACGCCAGGAGGAGCTGGAACCAGGGTCTGAATTGATGCAGATACTGAGCATGCTCTGTAGCCATGCACCACAGCTCCCCAAACAAGATGAGGAGAGCCGAGATGAGAAGGACAACCTGCAGTACAATGCCGTATGAGTTTATCACTTCAATGATTTCTGAATCCTTTGCTTAATAATATGATGAATATCTCTTCATTAACTTTAAAAGTTACCATAAGTGCCATCTGGAGCTCCAGCCCAGAGAATGATGATGGGATGAGGAGTGGATGGATGGAGAGGAGGGGAGTTATTCTTTGCGACTGAGCCCATACTAGCTGTATGGACACACATACAAATAAACCAGATTCTCTGTGGTAGTGTGTGAAATCAACAGAAAGAGATTTAAACCTGAAAAAGAAGGAAAGATTAAAAGAACATCATTAGAAAGCATCAAATCAAAATGAGCAACTTTTAAACAGTTTTACTTAATAAACATCAACTGAGTATAATAATGTATAAAACTCAAATTAAAACACATTTGGCTTAAGTGTTAAGACCGTCCTAACAAAACCAAAAATTACACAAGAAGGAGGGTGTGTTAATATGCAAAACAGTTTGTAATCTACACAAGAAAATTACATCATATTATGCAAATAATATTTTAAGATATTGCCACATTTGTTCTCCAAAGAAAAGAAGTTGCATTATTTTGCCTTTTGGCAAGTTCTGATGGGGTGACATGCCTCATTACTTTCAACAAAGTACAGTAATTAGATACTTTGTTCATCTCAAAGGAATCAACCTCTGAACAACTGAATGGTTTTAATGAACAAATCCACTCACTGCTTCTTGCTCCAGTCTGACATGTGCAGGTCAGCAAGGAGCTGGCGTGTCATTACGCTGCTGTTTCCCAGAAGGACACCTGCCACAGGGCCGAGAGTATGTGTGTACTGCAGCTGTGGTAACCCTACGAGAGGCAGTGAAGGGTTTTGGTGTAGGTGTGGCACCAAGGTATGGTCGAGCCACCGCTCTGCATTTGACCAGCTGGATAAAAGGGGAATGAATACAAGTTTATGTATGCTGTATGTCAGAAAAGTATTAAAAGCATCACTGAGCCATAATATTGCAGTGCACAACGTGTTCTTTCATTGCAGTTACTGTAACTCAAACAATGCAGTTTATCATCATGCTGTGCTGTAAACTCAAACACTGCAGTTTATCATCATGCTGTGCTGTAAATACTCACTAGGGTAGCAAATGTGCTTTAGTTTACAGCTAAAAATAACAAATACACTGATTACTCCAGAACAACTAAATACAGTGAAAGATATATGAATGCTTTCTTTTTTCTACAGGATTCGATGATGTGCAGTTAATTTACCATAACAGTAAACAGAGTGAGAGTAAAAAACCTTTTCTTAGTTCTTCACAGTAGCCACATTCACTGAGGTTGGACAATGCAAATCCTGTGCACACTTGACCATCTTTATCAAAACAAGTCATTATATTATGTCTAGTGGAACAAGCAGAATCCTGTGCTCAAGTTTTTTTCCTCATAACACACATCACACTGTGCATGTGCCTGTGAGTTTTGGCAACACAAAGCTACTGTAGACGTTGTCCTTACTCTCTGAGTGAGCTGAGGTTAGGAGCCCCTGGGTGTGTTGTGTGAAGATGGCGTGTGACGGCAGAGTGCAGCAGTCTGCCCTGGCTCTGCTCTACGCTGTCTTGGTAGTTCACCATCAGCACCAGCAACAGAAACAACAGCTGACAAATGCAGTGCTGCAAAAAAGATGCAGAGAAAAACAAACACAAATTTGATACTTCTGGAAACAAACGACCACTAAACTTTAAAGCTTGGTTTTCCTCTCACCTTCATGAGTGATCGCAGAGCTTGGACTTTGCGGGCCTCCTCTTTAGCCTGTATCAGCCCGTAGCCACATGGTGGTCGAACCTTCCTGCAGTGCTCTCCAAACGCCCTCACCACAGTGGTCTCCCGAGCCAACTGCTCCTCCACCTCTGGATCCGCAGGCCTCCACAATGCAGTGTAGATCAAAGCTTGCACACACACCTAGGCGAGGAAATTGGAGATGTTAATCAAAGGAATTATCCACCTCAGGTCTAAGAAAGGAATTAATTGGAAGACATGTTTGAACTCACCTTGAGAGGCTCCAGCAGTAGAGCAGAGGTGAGGAAGGCACAGAGAACCGATACCAGCCACATGAGGACTACAGTTCTGGGAAAAAAGCTACCGTAGAGTCCGACCACAGCCAAACAGGCTCCCAGTAGCACTACCAATATGGGGTAGATCACACATAGTGCCCTGGGAGGGAGCAGCCAGTTGGGCTGACCTCGAGCAACACCTACAGTGGGGGAATTGAACAAGAGATACAGTCGCAAGAAAAAGTAATGGCACTATTTGCAATTTCCTGGTTTTCTGCATGAATTGGTCATGAAATGTGATCTGATCTTCACCAAGGTCACAAATTTCATCAAACACAACATTTCTAAGCCGATAAAACACAAACAGTCCTGATGTTTCATGTCTTTATTGTACAGACCCATGAAACACACAGTACAAAGTGATGGTGGGTGCAGGTCTAATCCACAGCTACAGGAAGCATTTGCTTGAGGTTAATGCTGCCAAAGGTTGTTCAACCAGTTATTAAAACACTGTTGCCATTTCCACAATCACTTTGTATGTACCACATAATTTAAATTTTAAAATAAATTCTGATGAACACATGTTGAACATGATATGCAGGATCAGTGAAAGTGTGCTTGGGTTCATCTGACAGGGCTGTAGGGAACGCATCTAACACAAAAGTGGTTGAGAATGAATGGTACCTATGCGTGTGGTAGAGGAGGAGCATGCAGAGTCAGGGGAAGGGCTTGGCAGGAAGGTGCTGGCCACTGAGTCAACAGACAAGACAGAGGGACACTTGTAGAGTCCTGTCCTATACAGCGAGGGACAGGACTGTGAATCTGGTTTGTAGACATCTGCACCATACAAAGACTTATCCTCACTCTGATCTGACCAGCTGCTGCAGAAGGTGCTCCGGCTAGAAAGTACAACACAGTAATACAGAGCGGTTTGAGCAACACAGAACTGCATGAAAGGGCATCTGCAGGATTCACAGAGGAAACGTACGTGGTAGAGAATGAGGATGTGGTTTTAGCCCCAGCCGCTGTCCGAGTTGCTGCTGGTTATATCTGCTGTGTCCTCTGCTGCTGCTATAGACATCAGGAGATCCTCCTCTGGCGCCACGGACATAAATACACAATCAGATTAGTGCATTTTCGAGAACAAGTTTCAAATTTCTGAGAGCAGCGTGGGACACCAAGAGGGTTAAGGTACTAGATTTGTCTTTTTCTCATCTATTCATTATATTTATTATATTTAACTTAATTTTACTTTAACATTTATTTTACTTTTATTGTTGTATACAAGGCTGATGGTGATTCAGGCAGAGGTGAGAAAGTTGAGCAGGAGATGAGCCCTAGTAGCCTTAAAGCAGGCAAGAGAGAGGAAAAACATATCAGTCTATTACTTGGACAGCTACCCAGACTGGATGGAAACACTGGGACACTTGTTGCACCTCAGAGAGGAAGAGAAATAAAAATAACATTAATGTTTTAATGTTTACTATTTTTAAGATTCTTTGACAGGTTAATGTGTCTGCGTATCACTTTGTGATGGGTTGGACATACTGTATTTGTATGACAGAGTGATGTGTTGCTTGTTACATTTTAATCAACTTAATGGTCTTTTAGCATGTTTGTGATATTTGGAGGTATCATTAATTAGAGACAGGTGTCAAGAAGGTAGTGTTTGCTCATTATTAATGTCCATCATCATGTGAGCTGCTGTTATGTCACTTGCATGTTTATTAAACTTATTTGTTTTATTTTTATGGCTTCTGAACAGGTCACCAAGTGTGACCTCTCTAGGTTCAAATACAATGGTGTCTATTGCACCGGGAGTCAAAAAGAGAAAGGTAGGGTAGAGTGTGTTTAGACCAGAAGGTGCTTATAGACAGTATAAAAGATGTTGCAGGAGCTCTGTCCACTGCTCTGCTTTGTGAACCAGAAATGGAGATAATGCCATTTGCCTTTTGCAATAATTGTATGCCTTGCTTCAGACCAAAGAGACTTTGAGTGTTTTTAGCAGAAGATTAGGGGACCATCACTAGTGTGTGCCTGACCAATACTGGCCCAGGTCAGGTTCCACAACAACAGGACTTCTGACTTTAACTGTTTCTTACCAGACAGAGTCAGAAATGTTGTCAGATTGCATTTGTGAACTTGAACCAGGTTTGCGTTTTCAGTGACGATCTCCTGGCTCAGTGCAGTAGGGGAGTAATTAGAGTCTGAAGTGTCTTTTGAATGGGGATATTTGCAAGGTGAAGGGACAGGAGCAGTGGGTTTGTCAGGAGAGAAGGGAGACGCCAGGCACAGCTGCATAAGGGCCTTTTTTCTCTTTAGCGGGTGTGTAGTACCCAGAGCAGAAGAAGCCTTGCAGAGGTCATGGTCTGGGGTCATCCTGCTGGAATATGAGCTCACTGGTCGGTTAAGGAGGCTGTCACAGGATGGCCATGCTACCACACCTTTGTCGTGACATGCTCCATCTGGCTGGGGCACCAAGCCAGAGGCAGCCCAGAAGTCCAACATACTGGAGTCTAATGCCTTGCTATCCAGTAACTAGAGACAATCAAAAGAACAATCAGAATGTGATTCCAAGAAATGAGATAGGAGCAGAAGAACAACTGCTAGTATGTGTGCATCAATATTTGTGTGTGTGTGTGTTCTCACAGATGTAGGACTGTCACGGACTGGGCTGGAAGAGTCTGACAGAGACAGGAAGGAGGGGCCGGACAGCTCTGATTGGCCAAGGTAGACGTCCATCTCCACAGAGTGACAAACAGGAGAAGGAGGAACCGACATGTCCACAGTTACCTGGGTTAAAAAGCCAATAGATTATTACAACAAACTGTTGCATGTTATAGTTTGGAGACATCTAGAAACCATATTAAGGTTGTCTCTAAATCTTTGCCCTCCCTAGCTACATACATGAGAGGGTCAGAATATTAGGAACACCTCTGAATAGAATGTAGTCCAGTACAACATCACCTTTAACTATGACTTCAATAATACACATATAAATAAACTTATACATGTATGACAATTGCACCAAAAACTGAAACAATTTGAACTTCATAAACACAGATGTTAAGGCAGAAATGTTGCACTGAACAACATACAATTGTACAGGTGTACCTATTAAAGTGGCCTGTCCCCGTATGAGGACAGTGCTTTTCAGCAGAAAAATGTATTCTGAAAATAAATCAGCTTTAAGTTGTGTGAGTTACCTGACTGTGAGTTTGTCTAAACAGGAAACAAAGAAAACACTGGAGAGGAAACACCAGCAGGGCAAGAATCATCCCCACGGCAACCATCTCCACGTTAACCAGCAGCTGGGCTGACACTGGACCACTTATGCAAAAGCAACACACAGTTTCAGCGTTAGCTGTGCAAAGCTTCTGACACACTGCTGCTGTATTCACTTAAATAAACTTACTTGCAAAAAGTATAACATCCCCTTGAATGGGCAGTTAATGAATGAATAATTAACTAATTAATACTACAAAACATTGCTATATATGCAATTCAACACTACATACTACTTTATCTAATATTTGTTACAATGCTAATTCCCTGCCATTAGAGGATTTTAGGCCTATAAGCCATCTTACCTGTACCCCTTTGAGCCCACAGCCCCATACCACAGAGCCCCCAGTGCAAGGTAGAGGTGCAGCATGAGGGCACTGCAAGTTACCCTCTGACCCCTGGTGAAATGACTGTGAACAGGACGTTCCCATAGTGACAGCCACATGTGGCGTTCCATCATCCCATACATCAGCTGCAAGGTGAGGACCCTTCGGAACTGAAAAAGTTCCTCAGGACCTGAGGAGGATAAATTCAAAGGTTGAAAGAAAAACACACTTGGCACAGCCACCAGATGTCATTTTTAACAAAAGATGGATGGGAATGAAGGTCACTGTTTGGTTGTATGGGACTGTGACAAAAAAAAGCCAGAACTGAGAGTTGCTTTGCTTGTTTTTCATGTAGAATCACAAGAAAAAAAGATGATTTCCACTGAACACAAACTGCCATTTACCAGTTCTTTATGCTAGAAGAATACCAAATAGCATGACATGTGGTAATGAGATGTTGAAAGTCATATGTATAGGCTTACATGAGGCTAGAACTTCCTTCTCCACAGTGCTGTTCTTTGCATTCTCCACAGAGAGCCAATCATCCAACAGGAAGAAGAACATGTGGTCTGTCTGAGGGTCCCACACCACCACATGCTGAACGTACCAGGATGGGTCGAGACCTGCATTTACAAATATGATATCCCCATCACAGCTGCACTGATTCAGTGAGCAGGGGGTTTGAGCCTTTGCTTAATGACATAGTTACCGATGGACTCGAGTTGTTTCCGGGATGAGAATTGGGATTTTACATCTACATGTAGCAGGATGTGATTATAAGTACACAGACCTGCTGATACCAGTTTACCATGTACCTGTGTTGTCATGCCAGATGCGAATTTTCCAAACTTCCCCCAGACTCTCATCTGTCTCCAGGTGAAACTGGTCCAGGCTGCCACGCTGAAATGCTCCGTCCCTCTGCAGATGGCGAGAGCCGCTCTTGGTCATGCCATAAAGACTGATGCCAACATGTGCGGTGGTGCCTGATTAATCAGTACAGTTACATCAGTTTGAGGTTTCAGAAATTCAAGCATGATAATGCCTTTATTACTTATATTTTATGTCCACTTATTTTACAAAGATCAGCCCTAACATTATGACCACCTGCCTAATTCTATGTACACAGGAGTCAATGTGGCAGTTGGTGGCACTCATGTCACTCTGTAGCTCACTGTGCATCTTCTGTCAATCTGTTTGCTTCCATATTTATACTGTCAGGAAGAGCACAGATGTGTCGACCATTCAGTGAAAAGCATATGTAAAAGGAGTGAAGCCTGTGGTCATGAGGACGAGTTAGAGATAATGTTTTAGACACATTCAACAGCCTCCCCACTCTAGGGGTGATATCACCACTACAGCCACTGAATCTTTCTCTTCATAGAGACCAATGTACAGTATATCTCATCATGAACCATTTTAACAAAGATTCAAACAAAATGGAATCTTTTGTTAAAAGTTTAATCTACAGTAGGTCAACCTCATCATCAGCTAACTGTGGGCGTCCATGACCCTGTCGCCTGTTTGTCCTTCATCAGACTCTGTTGGTAGCTACTAACCACTGCAGACACTGAATCTTTCTCTTCATAGAGACCAATGTACAGTATATCTCATCATGAACCATTTTAACAAAGATTCAAACAAAATGGAATCTTTTGTTAAAAGTTTAATCTACAGTAGGTCAACCTCATCATCAGCTAACTGTGGGCGTCCATGACCCTGTCGCCTGTTTGTCCTTCATCAGACTCTGTTGGTAGCTACTAACCACTGCAGACCAACAACACCCACCAAGACCTGCAGTGTGGGAGATGCTCTGACCCAGTCATCAGGCATCACAGTGTGGCCCTTGTCAGAGTCACTCAGATCCTTACACTTGCCTATTTTTCCTGCTTCCAACACATCAACTTCAAGGACTGAATGTTCACTTACTCCCTAATATACCCCACACACTGTCATGTGCCAATGTAATGAGATAATCAATGTTATCAGCTTCACATGTCAGTGGTCATAATGTTATGGCATCAGTGCACATCTCTGTGAACTTTTCCTTGGCTGACCTGCTCCTTGCTTCCAGCCAGTCTTGACCAGCACTCTGTAGTGGTACAGCCCCGGCCGCCCACACAGAGGAACCAGGCTCAGCCTCAGGCTGTCTAAGTGGTCCAGTTTATGGGCCATGAGCCCCACCAGCAGGTGAGTCAGAACCAGGATAGCACACACAATCCCCACCACCAAGTTACGCATGGGCCCGTCTGACTGCAGAGATACAACATGGACAGAGGAATAATGAAAAAAGCATTGAGAAGTTGCAGTTGAGAAATAGAGTGAGTTTATTCCTTGGTCAAGTGTTTGCAGTGTAACAATAAATGCTTTTAAAAGTATACACTGAATAATACAATGACGTTATGTTCTCACATACCGGTGGCAGCAGAACAACAGCCCCAGGATGAACAAACAAACTGGCCCCAAATATGGTGAGGTGCTGGGTGAGACAGCGTGCCTTGTGGAGTGTGCTGCCCTCTAGAGGTTGTAGGCCCTCACTGCTCCAGCGCTTCTCCTTCACACTGTAGTACTGGCACAGAGAGCTGAACGCAAGCACTGACGCATGGACAGGACCGCTATCAGCCAGAGATGAGGTCAGGTTGACAAAAAGAGTCTTGTATGTCCTGTTTACACTGTTGTGAAAGAAAAAAAAAATCAGAGAGTAAAGTATTCATCAAAACAGGCAATCAAACCGAGTACTGGGTCACAGAAAAGAGCCATGACTCACAGTGGAGACAGGAAGATAGTCTCCTCTGTGGAGGTGGCTGGAGTAGAGAGAGTGAGAGCCCACTCTCTCACTAGGGAATCTTGGGATGCATTAGGCCCCAGCACTGTAGAGCTCACTTCTATCTTGACATGTCCCAGTGTCACTGGAGTAGCTCCTACATGCATAATGCAGTTTGAAAACAGTTGTCTTAATTTAAAATTCATGCAAAAACTCAGATAAACAGCAAAGTTAATGAATTAATAATTGTATAGGCACTGCATGATCGAGCTTAATAACAGTCTGACAAGTGACTTTAGACAGCTGACATGCCCCAGAACTGTTAAGAAAAACAGGGAAGCCAGTCTGTTTGCATTCATAGTGATGAACATTTCTCACTATAATGAGAACAGTGAGAAAATACTGAAGAGTTACAGTACATGCCAAACATGCAGCAACGCACCAACAAGGAAAGAAGAAGACTGCAATCATGTAACCTGTGCTTGAATTAAAACAATTTGGATGTAACTGCATAAACTCTATACAGATCTGAGGATTTATAAATGTACATTCAGACTTTCTAAGTATTATAAGTAAAAACACATGAATATAAAAGTTTCGATCGGAGGCTTGTATAAGGAACCAAGTTCTACTTTGTCTGGCTTCACTGAGCCTAACAATGGCCGCCCTGTGGATCATGAAGCTGGTTATCAGCTGGTTCTTTTAAGTCTGGATGTGATATACTCTAACTCCTAATATGATATGGGATGAAACTGTGCCACCAGCTGGTAGGGACACTTTCCAAATAGAAAAGTGAGGCTAAGGCTATAAACAGGTGTAGAAATTATTATATATTGCCTTTAGTTTAGAGTGAGGTTTTTGTTTTGTCTGATGATGAACTATTATGGATATCTGATGCACATAAAAATGTTATAGTAATATCAGACTGTCTCTGCTGCCAGATGAGAAAGAGGCAGAAAAGTAGATACTGTAATGGCTGACTAAAATGTTGGTTTATATTCATAGGGAAGATTTAATACTGTGTGCATTTTGTTTTTGAAAAATTACATCAGATGGGTTTGTTTTTATTTTCAGTTATCATCACAGAGTCTCCTCATATTAATCTGGGCTGCAGTGGTAGAACAAGAGTGTAATAGCATCAAGCCTGGCAGGCAACAATTAAAATGCAGCTATAATCCCAATTATGTGCTTTAGTGCGATCATTTGTCACATTATTGTCAACTCTTGTCTATGTCAGGATCCTATAGGATATTCCCAGTGATCTCGTGGATTGCTATTGAAGGTTTTGGTCTGATCCTCAGTCTGCAGCACAGGCTCCCACCATTTAAAAGTGAGCCACCTTCATGATACCAGAAACCCTGAGTTAAACCAGAAGATAGCTGGCGAATCCACAAATGTTGCTTCATGGTACAGGCCCTCGGAGAAAGCAGAACAAGTCTAAAGAAAGCAAAATAATCGACTGTACCTGAAGCAAGGCTGAAGTTGAAGGAAATGTATAACCCTGCGTTTTCATCCAGGTCGTCCATGACTTTTACTGTGAAGTTCAACTGTCCTTTACTGGGGAGTGTTACAGTAAGACCTGTCCCATTCCCAGCATCACCTGCCCTACCATCTCCACCCCCACTGCCCAAAGGGTTCTTGTTGGGCAGGGTGAGAAGTATGGCCTGTTCAGGGTCCAGATTTTGGATGAATATGGGCTCACCTTGGGGAGTGGTGAGCTCCATGGCAACCAGACTGGTAGTGATTGGAGAGTTGGCTGCAGTTCGCAGAGGGTTGGACTCTAGAGCTCCTTCCATACTAAACATTACCTGCACCACCTCAGCCCTCTGACTCTGCAAGTGGGCAGTAAGGGAGGTGGGAATACTAAACCGACATGAGTCTGATCTGTCTGTCCATGATGTCTGAGAGGACATTTGGTTTTGCTTGGACTGGTTTGACTGCTGAGTGCAGAGGAGGTCAGAGGGGTCTCCCTGGAAACCAACTGCCTTGACATAAGGGGTGGAGAGAAAGAGGGGGGCCTCGCCATGAACACGTGAACGCATCAGAGAGCGCATGACCGCCCCTGTGTGCCCCAGCGCTGTCAGGGTGATTGTGGAAGCTGACTGCAAAGTGCTTGAGTAGGCTGGGTGAGAAGTGGAAGCACTGCCTGCTTCAGACACAGCAGCCAGGGAGCTACCTGCAAACACAGAGAACAGGGAAGATTTCTGTTTTGTAAAGCACAACCAGTAGGTAACAGTCTGGAGCAGAAAATGGTGGATGACCAGCACCTATGATGTTAAGGATGTTCCTTCCTGTGTCAACAGCTGACAAAACACCTGGAATCATCTCTTCCTCCATCACACGGATCATCTTTCCCACAGCCTTCAGAACCTTCTCCTGACAGCTTTCACATACCAACTCACTAGGAACAGCCTGGAATGAAAAAAGAAACAAGACATTTTGACATAAGTGAAGGTGGAACTGTGACTTACTTGAAAATAGAGCAAATTTTGAAGCAAATGTCGGAATGTATGGTCTGTTTGTTGGTCTGTATTTGCATGTATGAGTACAAGCTTTCACAGGAAAATGCTTTAATACAAACACAATACTTAAAGCAAGGGTTCAACATCTTGGAAAATACACTAACTCGCCCTTTGGGGGAGATTTGAAGAAGATTGATACCATGCTCAAATCAGAGCAGCCAGCATCTAGTTAGCCTAGTGTAGCGCAAACACTGGAAACCTGGCTCTGTCCAATATACAGTGCCTTGCGAAAGTATTCGGCCCCCTTGAACTTTGCGACCTTTTGCCACATTTCAGGCTTCAAACATAAAGATATAAAACTGTAATTTTTTGTGAAGAATCAACAACAAGTGGGACACAATCATGAAGTGGAACGAAATTTATTGGATATTTCAAACTTTTTTAACAAATAAAAAACTGAAAAATTGGGCGTGCAAAATTATTCAGCCCCCTTAAGTTAATACTTTGTAGCGGCCAACACAAACTAGACTTTTTCAGTAATTTGTTGCTTTGCTTTCCTTCATCAAAAGGACCTAAACAATTGTTAACCTCAGCTCGAAAATGATTTTCAGAACTCAAGTATGTTTAATCTGTACATAAAAGTGTAGAAACTACAAATTGTTGTTTTAGAAGAAATCAACTTGCCAGCTGCTTCTTGCCAGGCAGTCGACAGTAAGTTACTGTGCCTAGCCAAGCAGCAGGTCATCCTTGTGTAAAAAATGTTTTTTTTTTCTTTTTCGCTAAAGTTTCTGTTTGGTATTTACAAAATAAAACATGTTAATTCATGAGCTTTAAATGTCCTGGTTAGGAGGATTTTATTTCTTTCAGACAAAGCCACACTAGATGTCTCCTTCTGCCTCCAGCCTCGATGCTAAGCCAAATGGCCTCTGGCTGTAGTATAGCTTCATATTTAACAAAACAATGTGGTACTGATATTCTCAACTTACTCTAAATGTTGAACTATTCATTAAAATTTCAGAAGATAAAGATAAGAAGAAACATTGGATGGTGATTACTTACAGTGGACTGAGCTAAAGCTGAGCTAATCTGATCAACCTCCATTAAGGAGGACACACGGAGTGAGGCCAGGGCTTGGGTCACATTTCCTCTGATCTCCCTCCTGTCCGTCAGCTCCCTGATACTTTGTCCGAACTCCATCTGTGGACAGGGGGGTTAAACTCACAGGCCAATACTCAGTCTTCTCTTATTCTCCAAACAGCAAAATGTCATTTCATGCACTGGCAAATTACAGTAGATGTGCTGCTGACACACTACCTGATTGAGCTGGCTAGTGAGGGCGATGGAATAAGGGATGATCTCCTGAGGGTTGCCGTGCTGGACCAAAGCCCACAGTTTTGTCTGGCTCTCGTTTCTGAGCCACTGACTGGCAGCTTCATTTCTTGCCGGATTTTCAACAGTCAAGTTTCTGGGTAGAGTAAAAATCAAGGGAAATGTGCACCTACTAAAATGTGACATGTGGCATAATGTCTCAAACGGTTTTCCTAACCACTCGCTGAAAAAGGAGTATGGTGACAGGTGCTGCATTTAACAACTAACAGCAATGTGATATTTATTCCAGCTGCCTCAAAACGTTACCTGATCAGAGCAATGGCCTTTGCCCCCAGATGGTCTTCTACCAGCAAAGTAACTGTGATAACTGACATGTTATTTTCTAGCCTGGGACTTCCCATTGGAACCAGGCTGCCGAATGTTGAACGAATGCCCCTAGGAAGAAATGACAGTTGGACAAACCAAACACAATCACCTTACATGATGACAAGCTGGTCAGGAAGCAACTTCAAATGATACTTTTAAATGAGGTTTAATACTTAGGTCAGGACTTTGTCTACTACTACTACTACTACTACTATCTGTAAGCTGAGGTTTGTATGCACCTGTACAGAATGAGCACCGGGCACACATTACTAATGGGCTGGCATGGTGCCACCTGGAAGGTATAGATCAGCTGAGAGGCCTCACTTTCATCTTCCTGCCACCCTGGCAAAAGAAAACAGATGCTAGTAAGACACAGTCAAATACAGTTAATGAGCAATAAACTGACTACATGTGCACTCTAAATTCATTTAATTAACTTTATTAAGGAGTAGGATGGTTTACTCTTCTCACTTGTCAAATAAAAAAGCCTGCATGATGATCTCTGTTTAAAGTGACAAACACATTGATGCAATTTGGATTTTATGACACTTTTGTTAATACCACAGTGTTACCCGAGCAGTTGTAGGTGACCACCGTCTCCAGCAGACGTATATCTGACTCTGGACTCAGATCACACAGGCCTCCGTGTGGTGGATTGTTAGGTAGTACTGCCAGGCTGGTGCTGCCCCACTGGCCTCTGCCAGGCTGGGATACATTGAGGGTGAAGGTGTAACGCAGGCCTGGCTGCAGGACACCTGAGCGCACCACCAAGTTAGGGGAATGTCTTCCTGTAGACGTAGAAACCTCATCAAGGTCAAGGATCATGCCGGTCTCGCTTTCAGAAATCCATTCGTACTGCAAGAAGACAAACACGTGAATCATAACAACATCAAATGTTTTATTGTCTGTGTATTTGTATATTTGTTGGCTTGCAGATAAACCATTGGATTGTTATTTTATCTACCTCATTAAGCACAACAAATTTTGGATTTATATTAAAATATTCAATAAGAAATTAATTCTCTGAGCAGATAAACACAAAAATTAGAGGGTGCATTGATGTGTACTGATCTCAGCTACAAATGAACTTTCCAAAAAGGCTTTAAAGTAAGCCATTGTAATTTCATGTCAAATTTTGAAGAAATAATATGTTTCTTTACCATTACTTTGAACATTTGGGTGTTCTTCACAAGACATCGGTTTAAGATGAACTGAAATATTTAGAACTGACTGGACAGTTACCTGAGCCTGGTCATCACAGTGTCCACACTGTCCGGCAAGAATGACGGGGCTGGTGTAACTGATGTGGTGAAGAGAGGAGAGGCCAGAACAGGATACACACTCCACAGTTACAGGAAGCACCGGAGCTTCAATCACAGTCACCTACAGATAGGAGACAGTGGTGGAAGAGGTACTCACTTATTAACGGTAGCAATATCACAGTGTAAAAATACTCGGTTACAAGTAAAAGTCCTACATTAAAATGTTACTTAAGTAAAAGTGCAAAGGTATTGGCATGATTATGCAGAATTTCACAATCTACATAAATTGTATAATATTATTTGATTATAGTTGTTGATGTATTATTGTGTATATCACAATGGTAGTGGTAGAGGTTTTACCTTATATGCTTATATACTTGAAGTACTTTACATACTACTGGGTAGATTTGGAATTTTACACCAAAGGCCAATAAAGTGATTATACTGTATTTTGTTTTATTAATCTCATTCAGAAAATGAACTACACTAGTAACTCAAGTTATCAAATAAATGTAATGAGTACAAAGTACAATATTTTTCTGAAATGTAGTGAAGCATGAAGCAGCAGAAAATGAAAATACTCAAAGTTGTACTTAACTACAACACTTGAATAGATGTATTTAGTTACCTTCCGCCTCTGACAGGAGACAGGTAGAGGTGTGTGTGAGCACCAAAGTCAAGCCATTCATTTGCCAGATGATGTACTTACTTTTTATTTCCATTTTAAACTTACTGTTCTACAACATTTGAGAGGAAAATGTACTTTTTAATCCACTACATTTATTTTACTTTATTGTTCACATTAACGTTTTACATAAAAACATACAGTAAGCTTATAAAATAGCACACACTCTTAACAATTATGCCGATTACACAAGTAGTAACCCACTTGTTCGGCTTGTGACCCCCCTTACACCTTTCAGATGTCTATAGGTTGTTAGCGCTTCCACCATCGAGACACTTCCGGATTGGTATAATTGGAATAATTGTTTGAGGCTCATACAGTACTTCACAAGAAAGAAAAGCTTTTAAATAAATAAATACAAAGCTAAGTAACATAACTCGTTTTACCTCTGCCAATTAATACGTCGAGCCTTTACAGGGTCCTAGAATTTAAAAATTCTTTGAGGAAGATCACTGTGATCCATATTGTGTGTGCTTTATGTGACTAAATTGAATGATGAGCCAATTCCAAGCTTTTTTTTTTTTCACAAATGTTTTATTTATAAAATAATATTCACTACCAATGGCTCTTCTCAGTGGAACTGCCCAAGAACAATAACAAAACAGTGAAAAACAAGTACAAACATAAATCAGGTGAGAGTGGTGAGATTTTGGGAGATACTTACTGTTTGACTGACAGACACAGGTCTCCTCCCTGTCTTGCGCACAGTGAGGGTGAAAACGTAAACTGTTCCAGGACGCAGCCGAGTACTGAGTACAGCTGTTCTGCTGCTGCTGCTCCCAGTAGGCTGCTTTAGGGAATGAGACTCTGTGGAATTCTGCAAAGACCAACAAACATGTAAGAGAAATGAAACAAGAATTAATACAACTCCCTCCTACTTTGGAATTTAGTTTTAATTTCTTATACTTCTTTAATGAACTCATAACAATAAGAAATAACACACTTTCATTACCCTAAGGTTATTGCAACATCAAGAGACCTTTACCGCTGTGATGAAGGTCCAGTGATACTGCAATGTATCCTCCACTCCTGGCTCTACATCAGGGTCACGGGACTCAGATCCGTCCAGGATGAGGTCGCTGAAGCTGGGCCACAGTCTGTGTGAGCCTCCTTTGATGACAGCTACCAAAGGGGAGTGGACGACTGTGATGTTTGCCTTTCGTTGAACAAATAAAGGACTTCCATGGAGTGAAACCATGAATACTAGGCAATACTGTCCCACACTGAGAGTACGCTTCGGGAGTAAGAGCCCTGGTGAAGTTGCATCCACCTGACTACTAAGAATGACTTTGTTCCCTGAGAAATCTATGTTGCCACTGGTACAATCTGAATCCCTGAAGATCTCCCATAGGTACATGGCCTTGTAAGCAGAGCAGCTGATGTGCACACTTGCTTCAAAGAAACTCGGTCTACACCTGAAGATAGTAGACTGGCCTTGAACCAGGGAGACCTGAGGGCTGGAACACTGGAGCTCCTCCACCTTGATGTGTAGATGTGTGGACACGTGGCTGACGCTGTTGAGTACTTTGACCGTGACACTGTATTTCCCAGGAATATAATACGTATGATTGACTGTACTTGATTCTGTCATCAGTAGTTCAGTGGAATCTCCAAATTCCCAGAGGTATCTGAGATTACTTCCTCCACTGACTGTGGCAGAAAACCTCACAGCGTGTCCAACAAATATTCTCTCTGAATGACAGACAAATGTGATCTTGTTAACAGGCCACTCCACTGTAACAGTCTCATTAAGTGTGTGGGAGCAGATTCCATTGCTAGCTACCACACTGACAGAGAATGATCCACTCTCTGGTGGAGTAAAGAGCAATTCTTGGCCAGTGAGCCATGTGGGCTCCGACCCCACCATGTGAAATTTCCACATGTAGTTAACTGGAAACCCACTTTCAACTTCTGCCTTCAAATGAATTCCTTTCAGTGCCTCTAGAGCAGTGGAACAGCAGTTTACAAGTCGAAAACCTTGAATGTGCTCAATGACAAATATGCTCGATGACACCTCTGTACTACTGACCTGGTTCCAAGCTTTCACTGTAACTAGATGCCTTCCAACTGGAAGGCTTGATGTGATGAACTGCCCTTCAAGAATGCTTTGACTATAAATCCAGTCTTTGTTTCTAAATGTTATAACAAAGCTTATGTTGCTTCCTTTGGAGACTGTTGGAATAAAAGTCACATTTTCTTCAGTGCACAGGGACATTTTGCTAATGTTCAGCTGAAGACCTTCAATTCCATCCTGGACAGTGACGCTGTGGGAAACCGCTTGCCAATTTATCCAGTTGGACACATTCAAAGACACTTGATAGATGCCAGCATGTGGAAAAGTGTAGGTAAAGGTCTGATTAGTAGCATCAAAGATCCTGGTTTGGGCACGTCTAACTTCCCATTCCCAGTGCATATCACTTCCCTTATGGACAAGTCCACAGAGTGAAACAGCAGCACTTGTACTGATATAAAATGGATGTTTCATTTCTTCAATTGCAAAATCCACCTCTTGGACCTCCTCCTGGACTACAAACTGTGTGGTGTCCGTGCTCTGGCTGAGCACATTCTCAACAGAAACTCTGACAAGACAGTAGCCCAAACTTGTAAAAGTATAGAGAAGAAAGGGTGCGTGTGTCTGCAGGGGTGATGGATCTGTGCCCACATACCAAAGGTACTTGAGATCTGACCCGGTAACCACAGATACAGAGATATTCACTAATTTGCCTAATGTCACAGTGTTTGATTGTGTTGTAATGTGTGCACTTGTTACACGCTCTACTGCCACTAAAGAAACAATGCTGGTGGCCTCACCCAGCTTGTTTGAGGCTCTTAGCTGAACTGAGACCTCACCGGGGGTTTCAGCCAACAGATGAAAAAGCTCTCCGTCACCAGAAATTGGTAGTTTTATTTCATTCTGTGGGACAAGCCAGTGATATGTGACATTAGAGCCTTTGGTGATTGAAGCAGTAAACAGCAGTTTCACTTGAGTCGGTACGTATTTCATGTTTGTCAGGCTCTGACATTCAATTTGAAGACCCTGTATTCGTTCAAAGACCTCAATCATAATAGCTGCCTCCATTCTGCTCACCAGGTTCTGGGCTGTAACCCTCACTTGATACACTCCTGGTTTGGGAAAAACAAATCTTGACTGACAGGTCCCCTGTTTGGATATAGTTGTATTATCCACTGTCCAATAGTAACTGGTGTTACTGAGAGCACTGCTAACTGCTGTTATAAGAGTTTCTTCTCCTACTACAGCATAAGGTTGGTTGGTGTGAAGTGAAAGGTCTGAAACAGGAAGTACAACTTTCACTTTCAGGGTCACAGAGTCCCGGCTGACTGTGTTAAATGCTGTGGCGGCGACTGTGAACTGGCCTGTTGAAGTAAAGACATGTGACACATTTAGCTTCTGCTCCACCGGAGAGCCATCCCCAAAGTCCCACAGCATGGATACGTTGCTTCCAGCGCAACTGGCAACCCAAAATGACACTACTGTATTGACTATCAGTGTATCACTTCGACTATCATGCACCACAGAAAGCTTACTGACAGGTTTCTGAATGATGATACTAGTCGTGGCTGTTCTGCTGCTGACTTTATTACTTGCTGTTACTGACACATCTTCAACACCTTCATCTTTAAAGACAAAACACTTCTGAGAGTTTTCTACCTTGGCAGCGAAACTAGAGGATTTGCTAAACCACTTAAAGTGGTAACCTGTTATCTGTTCAGGGGAAACTAACACCCTGAAGCATACCTGTTCTCCTACTGCCACTACATCCGGAGATGACTTTAACACCATGCTGGCTATTGGTGCTTCAACACAGATATTTGTACTAAATGAAACAGATGTAACAGAACTAAACACAGTCAGAGTAACATTAAAAATCCCTTGACTTGGAAATGAATGCACAACACTGGACTCTCCTGTTGCTACAGCCAAAGGTGATCCATCTCCAAACTGCCAATGGAAAGTCAGAATGGATGCGTTCCTGTTCACCAGAGCAGTAAGCTGAGAGTCCTTTCCATTTATGATGCATTCTGTAGGGAGAATTCCACTAACAGCCAAACTATAGACCTCTACATTGATAGACTGATGAGCTTTGCTGACAGAATTCGAGACAGTTACATCTACTCTATAATTCCCTGGAGACTTATAGATGTGGGAGATGGAACCATCTCTATGGTTTTCCTGCAGAGACCCATCACCAAAGTCAAAATTCCAGATAAGATTGGTACCAGTGGCAACTTCAGCTGAGAACTCTGTAGCAGAGCTTAGTTCACTGGGTCCACTGTAGCTGACAGTTAATCCAGAGATTTCCTCCAAGACTTCCACTATGAGCCAGGTGCTCAGCAGAGTAATGGTGTTGTTGGCACAAAGTGAGACATTATAAACCCCAGCATATCCAAAAGTGTGGTTGACTCTATAGTTGAAGCCTTGGACGATTTTCGAGCCGTCACCAAAATCCCATGTATAGAAAACAAAATCAGTGGAAGGTTCTGTAGATGCTTCCAGAGGGAGAAACTGTTTAACAGCATGCACTGGGGAGGAGGTGGAAATGTGGATGTGACTTAACTGAGGACGGACGTTTATCTTCATAGATGTGTGAGTGCTGTCATACTGGTTGACAGCTTGAACATGAAGTGCATGGTCACCTGCAGTGCACAAAATACAGTTAAATGGATTTTACCTTGGTAGCCTGAATAGTAAGTACACAGCAGTATCTACTACAGTGTCATTGTTGATACTACCACCAGATGCCGCCAGTGTAAAGAATTCAAAATCTTTTAAAAAAATCTGAAATAAATTTTAGGGCAAGATTTAAAAAAGTTGAGCTTAAAAATAAGATGCAGATCCATGTTGAAATAGCAGCAATGAGACACTATAACCAGCCATCCTAAAATATAAACTAAAAGTTAAACTGGCATTTTGTATATCCAGGTGCTGTGGCGGCCTTCTGAAATGAGTTTTATAGGGTAGGGTGTTTGCACTGTGTTCACCAGCTAGATGCTGAAAAGCCGTAGTTAATGGGTTTATCTGACCTTGTTTTCTGAAAACAGTTGTATAGTGATACCAGATACTGAGTCGATTAAAGCCAGTGAGCGTGAACCAAAACAGTAAAATGGCTTCCATAGAGCAGAGGAAATAAGCAAAGTCCTGATATTATTACCAGCAGCTTTAACACTTTTCACATACATGCAATATTTGATCTACTGTCAGTATAGAAGTATTGCTTTGTGCAGATTTAGTTGTTTGTGAATTTACCTGGGATGAAATAGGTGTAGTTCACAGAGTCCTGCACATACGCCTGCTTCTCTCCTCTCTCCATAAGCCCCGTCATGGTCTCACATGGAGCGGACTGGGTGTGGATTATATTGCTAAGGCCATCACCAAAATCCCACCTACATGACATACACCACATGGAACTTTACAATAAACAAACAAAATACAACTAAGTACAGTATGTTTCAGGTAGTAGTCTTTGTACAAGATACAGCATGCCATTTTGATCAGCTTTTCTGAGGATTTCTGAAGGTTATTTATGAACAAGGCGCATGCCCTCCCTGAAGGTGACTGGTAGGGAGATGTCCACCTTGACTCTGAGGGTGTAGAGATGTGTGACATTCAGAGGTACGACCTCCCTGACAAACAGAAACTCTGGCTCAGCCAGTGGGGTCATTTCATCAGCAGTCAGGAGGATTTGCTGGCTCTGGGAGCTCACAGGGTTGGACGCGGTTACCTAGAAGAGAGATGTTTTTAACCAAATGTAACTATTTATGGAAACTCTGAAATAAGACACTAACATATAAGTCTAGTAACACATCAATATAAAGCTGAATTTCAATGTTACAAACAATAAGAAAACAAATAACTGAGAAAAAGTAACATTATAAAGACAAAGTGTCTTACCATGAGCTTATACTCAGCTGGTTTCTTAAACACTACACTGCAAGTTTCTCCATCATAGGCAAACTTTCCCATGCTGTCGACCACCCATGTGAATTTTACTGAGGAACCGCTCTCCACTCGGGCTGTAAATGACTACGGTACAAAACATAAAAAAAGATACCAATGTGAGAGAATATGTCAAACAACTTGGGTGCTTTTTTTGTTTTAGGAGGTTCTAGTTTTCCATATCCACTTTACCCTAACACAGTGTCAACAAGACTGCTCTATGGCCACATCAGCAACTCTGTGACTATAAGCAGCAGTAGTGCTTTGAGCTAAATGCTAACATGAACATACTGACATGCTTACAATGACAGCGTCAATATGTTGCTGTTAATGAGGTCATAATCACCATGTTCACCAGTATGTTAACATGCAGCTGATGCATTTGGTCATAAGCCAAAGTACTGGACAAACTGACATTTTCATCTGACAATGGCACTACATGAAAAATTAAAGGATCACCAAAGTTACTACAAGTCACAGAAATCTATCCAATAGGAAATATCAAGGCATTTCAACCTATTGGTGTCAATAGAGTAAAATTAAGAGGATGACCAAGGTCATTAGGATACATAATATGGGAATTACAAATGTTTATCCCAAATTTTGTGGCAATCTATCTAGAAGATATGGATATAAGTTAGATGTTATAGATAGGTAATAAGTCTGACCAACTGGTGGCAATAGGTCAATCTGTTCAATAGCTGATGATATTTCCATCTGGACCAAGGCAGTGAATCGACTGGCTGACATTGCCATCACTTCTGCTATGCAAACATACAAAGTGCACGTGTTGTGAAGTCATTTATGCACTCTCACCTGTGATATGCCTACGAGCATCCTCAAGTGTCCGTGTGGCTCAACACTGAGCCCCGTCACTGCCTCGTAGCTGCAGACTTTCACACTAACACCCTCTGAGCTCACTGCACCCATCACACTGATGTTCAGTGTCTGAACCCCCACTGAGGGCAACACTAGAGTCACAGATGAGAACCAGGCTTCATGGAGCTGCCTCTTATAGTCAAGCCAAGACTGAGTCACCTCTTCAGGGCAGGATGGAAGAAAGGGGACCCCGGTCTGGAGCACTGGGGCTGACCATGAGCTTCTGGCTTTCTCTCCAGACTGGACCATTACTACGATGAGCATTGGGACATTGACTTCAACATGAATCTGGTTCTTTTCATCTGGGAGGGGATGGATTACACTAAGCCCGAATTTTGATCTCAGATCCGGAGTAGGACCTATAGTCATGTGTTCAATACCAGGAGCTGTGGTTGCCTCAGACTGGGTGAAGCCAAAGATATAATGCTCTGTACCTTTGTGAAGAGTGTCCACATACAGTATCCTCAGATCACACAGCACCCCATCCACCCACTGGCCTCCTTGGGGCAGTGAAGTGAGGCCTCCCTCCCACCAGCCCTCCCACTCTGCACCCCTAAGGGACAGGTAACTCTGGCGCCAGGGGGAGTGTAGAGAGGCTTCATTGTTCAGGCAATGAAGGAAGGTTCCAGAGTCACGAGTGTGCTGCACAGCCACAATGTCATCAGGGTACACTGTGATCGCTTGATCTGGAAGAAGCAGCTGTTGCAGAAAATACAAGACAATGTTATGCTATCTTAATATAACTTGTAGTCAAACACTGTATGATTCATAATGGCAGCAGAAGAGGGTAACAAAGCGCAACAAAGGTCAACTCACGCTCAGAGTTCTCAGTTCAGACGAAGGGTTTATTCTGAGAGGTAGGTCTGCAACCAGATGGTAGAATGGCGGTATCGCAGGGTATCTGGGAGGTAAAGCAAAGCCGCGGCTCCCTGCTGCAGGGTTGTAGGGGCTGCAGGGACTGGTGGTGGCCACACAGGCCTCCAGCAGGTGGCACCAGTACTGGCCCATGCTGCAGCCCCCTGTTGTGTTACACAGCTGCACAGCTGAGCAGCAGCTAAATGGATTAAGGAGAGAGCTGCAACCTGATGCACAAAGAGATTATTTTCAACAGTACTGCCCACTACGAGGTAATACTGTAATACATACAGTGCAGTACTTTCAGAAACCCCTCATAGTAATAGATGTGCTATACCAGGAGGTACCAGATGGTGGTTGGGGTCACAGTAGGGTCGGAGGATCTGAAAACGGGCCAGAGAGGAGAGCGGGCTTGGCTGGACCACCAGCTCCACTGTTACCAACTGACCTGCGTGACTGAACCACAAGCCTGGGAACAGCTGCATCTGTGGTGTTGAAGGAGCACCAGAATATGAACTAACAATACAAGGTCCAATGTAATCAGGTACAGGGGTATTCACTGCCACTTAAATCAGTTTTAAGATCCAATGTAGTCAGGTACAGGGTATTCACTGCCACTTAAATCAGTTTTTGGTATTCAACATCTGTTAGAACAGTGGTTCCTGAACTTTTTGTCCAACATTCCCCCAATCCTGTTGGCTAAGCTCAGTCACCCATCCATGGTTCCAGCTATCCAACTTGTTCCAAATCCATTCTTTTAAAGTGATTTTCAACTGTGCATTATTTAATACTATTTAGATATGTAAAATTACTTCAGTTTCAACCAATTCATTCCTTTTAGCTACCATATTTTTTCACTATTTAATACCATTTGAACTGTTCCTGAGTTATTTCCAGCATTTATCCAGTACTTTTTAGTTAACTATTTTAAACCATTTAGTCATTACCTTTAGTTTTGTCAGCCAGTTATCTTTTACTTTTCACTATTAATCTAGTAAAGTTAGGGCTAGTCCTACAATTTATCCTTTCCTTTTAATTATGCATCCAATACCACATAATCCACTCGTATCCAACATGTTTTGTGATCAGTTTCAACAATTTATCCATTACCTTTTGCAGTTTGCTTGCTAAATATTTTTAAGCCCTCTCAGATGAAACGTGCCAGCTAGTGCTGGTTGATCCCCAGTCTTTTAACTTCTGATACTTTATAATAAATTAATGCCAGCCTGTAAGTTCACCCAACAAGTGTTCTTTTATTAGACAGTTTTAATTTTACTACTAGTATTTACTATTTACTAGTAAAAATTCCATCATATCATGGACAAAGCATTTATTTGAGAAAATGTTTTTGGTGTGTGTTGTACAATAATTTTACAGCCATTCAAATTTATCTTGTAACTGTCTTAGGTGGGTAATCAGTGTTTTCGACTGACCTCCACTGTGTGCTGTCCAACGTCTGGGACACTGATGAGGGGATGTGCCTGGGTCGAGTCATACACGCCGGTCATTAGAACTGGTCCAGTCAGGTAACTGCCTGTTGGTGGTAAAGCTTCTGCTTGAAGAGAGAGAAACCCAAGTCACCTCCTCACAAGACACATTCCTGATGTGAATAGCTATACATGAGCAGGAAAGAAACTCATTAAGATGTTGTCGTAGGGCTAATTCCTGTCACCATTTTTCAAATCACTGAATGATATTTTTAAAGTGCCTTTATTGTGTTAATGTTTAGCTACTTATATTTTACTGGTATTGTGTGATATTCATTGTGGACAGCAAAGTAAACATTTCATTGTACAGGGAAACATGTTTCCTTACTGTGCATATGTCAATAAACAATTTGACTTTGTGTACCCCTGCTGTTCTCCAGTGAAACAAGTCTCACCAGTTATTTCTTTTTCACAGAGGAAGTGGTGTTGTTCAGCACACTGTGCTCTCCTCAGCTGTCCCAGTGCCCCCAGGGCCATCTGAGTACACCCCCTGACACTCTCACTGCCTCCAGGCCACCATGCAGGACTTGCTGGCTCCACAACCCCAGCCTGGTCAGACCATCCTCCCCACTTCAGCCATACCCAGACAGTGTTTCTCCTGAACACAAAAACAAATGAAATAAGTGTATATAAGTTGGTAAGCACAACTACATTCATATGGCTACTGTTCATGGGACTCACACTGGGAAGGAGTAGTGGATGAAGCGTTGCAGCTCCAGGCTGTCAGCTGCTGCCAGATCTGCTTCCTGAATTTCTCTGCATGACTCCTGTGCCTCAGACCACGAAGATGTCGTCTCAGAGAGCCAATAACATCGCATGCTGGACAGATGGATCTGACCACCTATTGGACAGGGAACGTCCTCTGGAGGGTGATAATCACATTGAGTTGACAGTATCCAGGAGGAGTCATTTACCAACCCAAGTTACTTATCAATCAATAACCACATCAGTCATGATTATGTGAGTATATACATAAACAGAACTGCCATCTTGTGAAGTGAGCATGTGGCAGATTGAATTTATCATCGCCACTTGTTTTTTCAGCCGCAAAATATATTCAGTGTCAATCTGTAATAACTGAACAGGTGGAGTTCCTGAGACACAACGACCGCAGCAGTTTCAGCTCATGATCACATGATACACAAGCTCATCAAGCAAAAATACGCCTTTCAGTCTGACTTTCTTTGTGCAGGCTTTCTTTATTACACACGCACTTCACATGTAATGTTTAGTTTGAACAGGATGCAAGTATTGTCTTGTGACTTTTAATCACCTTTATTCAGGAAATCTGAGCAGAACATATTCATGTAAATTATACAGTACACCCACCCACCATTAAATGGTAAAATACTGGGCACCAAAACAGCAAACTGCATTTTGAGGAAGTACATTTTTGTTTAGCACTAGACCTCAAAGGTAGTTACAATTTTGCATTACACAGTGTTTTAATAGAGAACAATGCAGTAGGAAAACAAAAATTAAATACACTCATATAAAATAATCCATATATACATATATGTACAGAGCAACATCAGGAAGAAGGAACACAAGAAGCTTGAGAAATACCAAGGGTTGAAAGAAGAGCTAGAAAGATGTGGAGGGTAAAGGCTCAAGTGGTCCCCGTGGTAATAGGAACAATGGGGGCTGTAGGAAATACATACAAATAATTTGCTACATAAATAAATTGTATTCCATAAAGTAGAATATTAAAGTGTGGGAGAATAAAGTAAATGTATATTTATCATATTCACAAAGAGGCTAATTTTTTGTACCTGCTGCAGACATAACCATTACTTTACCTATTCTTAATCATTATGATTGCCACTTCTCTCTGAAATAAATAAATAAATAAATAATCGGAACTCCAGGCAATTCTCCAGGTGTTCTTTAGCGAATAGGAAAACTGAAAAATTCAAATGGAAGTTTTCATGTCTCTAAGCGAAGACGTAGCTCTCGCTCATCTCTTAGTTCTCCAAACAAGTGAAAGGAAACATCACATTTCAGTTTTGCTTTAGTATAAAATAACTCTTCTCACCTCGAGCTGCAGTAATTAAAACCACACCAAGAATCCAGAGTAGTGCAGTCATGCCGGTCATCTTGCAAAACAAATCTTGCTCTGCTCAGAATATTAAAAAATAAAATATGCACAGTCACCACAGGATACAATACACTCCCATCATTCCATTAAATCTGTGAGTTGTCCTCCCTTTTTTTGTCACTGCCACAAGACATCACCCTCATCCTCAGTGCTCCTGTCTCCCTTTTAATCCCTCCCTCCATTTTTATCTTAAACCTGAAACCCTATCTTTACACACTCTCACATTTCCCTCCACTGTCCCCCCTCCCCTCCTCCTGCAAACACACTATGAGTTATGGTGGTCTTGTTGTTTTAAAGGCCTCTCCTATGTTCACTCTGGGTAAGTGCCTGGGTGACTTCTACTTTGTCTCTCAGCAACAACTACAGAGACAGAGTGGACAGATGAGGCCAGCACTGCTTATTACCATATTGTAAAATCCCTTACACCCTTACAATAGAAACACTGAGACTAATTCAGGCAGGAGGCAAAGGGTCCTGACAGAAACGGGCCTCAGAGACCAGAGCCTCTGTGCCTATGTAGTGTCTGCGTTGTTTGGGTGCAAATTGTTGCTTTTTGGAATCCAGAGGGGTTAGCATCTTGTTCTGGGTTGTCAAAACCTTTTCAGTTCAGAACTTCTTTCTACAGCATGGTGCCCACAGTAACACCAAGACCTCACCAAGCAAACAAAGGGTCTGTGACGCACATGCAAAAGAAAGAGACCTAGCTTGAAAAGAAAGGATGCCTTCTGTGTTGCCTGGAGAGGGAACAGATAAAGTTGAAGGCAGTGATAAGGTGACCATAACTGAGGATTGTCAGTCCACTGCTATGGATACCATGGCATTTTGCTTTGCAAGAATTTTCCCCTCATGGGAACAACGGTTTCAGCATGCGGGCGCTCCACTGATTACGTTTAATAGGGCACAAGTGGTGAAAGTAACTGTACATTTAGTTAGATAGGCTACTGCACTAGTGCAATTAACCCCACTTGCACCTTTCACTATTTTATGCTATATATCTACAACACAGCATAAGCAGTGTATGTTTTACTCCACTTTTGAGCTATTTTACAGATTAAGCGCTCACACACCAAATGTGAACATCTTATGACTAGCAAAGCTACTAGATGCTAGTGGCTCTGTGAGACCTTACTAAATGTTAAACGCAAATGTCTGAATGCTAACATGGTCACAGTTGCAATGGTAACATGCACAGGTCTCGCAGGCAACCATTTTAGTTTGACACGTTAAACCACATTTACTAATTAGCACTTAAACACAAGTCGAGGCTGGTGACAATGTCACTTCTGCAGGCATTTGGCCATAAACTAACAGTACTGGGCAAATTCAGTTTTTGACCTGGTGACAGTGTTATATAAAAAATTATGGGATCATGACAGGTGATGGGAACAACAAATGTCTCAACTCATCAGTTTATCCACGCGTTATAAATCTGTTGTTATCACATGATAAGTACAGAGTTTAAGCATTTAAATCCAACTCTAACTTCAACATAACATAAAATCTGCCACATCCATTGCACCTACAGTTTTGCACCTCTATAAGAAATTTGTCAAGTGGTAGTAATTCTAGTTTCTTATAGAATTATTAAAATAAGTTCAAACAAAGAAGTTACAATGTTCTCCACTTTTCTTTCACTGATAGTTTTTTCAGTCTCACTGTCACATTTTCTGGTTTTGATGTGCAAATTTTCAGTTTCACTGTTTGCTTTTGCAGTAGCCATTTTTTCAGTTTCAGTTCTGGCAATGAAACTATTTGAAATGATTTTCAGTTTATTTATTTTTGTTTAATTTCTCTATTTTCGTTCAGTGTGTTTTCCCTGAATAGTAATTCCATACCCTTAGAGAATTCAAATGTTAGAAGCAATGTAACAGTAAAATGATATGTAGAAATTGTGTAAAATATATGAAATAAAAATAAACTCCAGTTATAGGCTGTTGTTATGAAGATACAGCGCTTGCTTCCTAAAATTATTTTACAAATCACAAATTTTTGGTTAATTCATAATATAAAGTTTTGTTTCTAAATGCTCCTTTTAAAAGTCAAGTTACATTTATATTGGCATTTTCTTAATGGTACTTAATGGTTCATGTTTTGTTTAATGTTACCACTTTTCATGTGGTTTTTAATTTTATCATTTTACTTATCTATAACTGGGCATTAATGCAAATAAAATCTGACATAATATTAAAGTTTAATTAAAACATTGATTTTAAAATAACATTTAAATTTAAATGTGTACAAATAAATATAAATCTCCAATACAATTCTAATATAAAAATAATGTGAAATAATATTATTAATAATTTAAGAACTTAATTATTTCACACTTTAATTGTTCATTTATTCATTTTACACAATTTATTCATGTCATTATTTCAACATCTTTTATATTCATTTGATATTGAATATTTTGGGCCCACTAATTTTAATCATCTTAGTTTAACGCTAACTGGTAACAGATTATGAAACATTTTATGAAACATTCTATGAATGCCTATTCGATTAGTCTATAATCCCTTATAGACTCAAACATGAATAAAATGTTGCCCATTACCTTCTAATTACCTTTTTTCACTGTAGGTATTGATATTCTTCTCATAACGCTACTACTTTGTCTTGTTAAATACACACCCTGGTTCTCCTTTGCTGATAACACATTAATCCAGTGCTGCTGTTACAGCGGTTAAACTCCAGATGGCAGTAGAACGGTAACATTCACCTGAATGTGATTCACAACACAAACACCACGAGGAAGAAGAAGCAGGAAAACAAGAGGAGGAGGAGGAGGAGGGTAATACATCTTAGGTAGGTTAACACGAACAGAATAGTTATAAAGAATAACGGAATAGCTTCTTTACATTGCTGCAATTAACTTAAAAACAATGCAACGCGAGATTTACTGGACATAAAGGTGGTGGTTTTAACGGCTTATTGCCCAGCGAAGTCCTTCCTGCTGGGTTGCTCTTATTAACCCCGGTGTGTGACGCTAGTTTCTGAGCTATGACATGAGTAAATGACTAAGGTCACTGTATATGTAACGTTGGAATATCTTCAGACAGACGTCGGTTCGGCATTTATTTACGACAAGGCGTAGTTACTTACGCTGGATTAGCCCATTCCTCTTTTTCAGAGCAACACAGTTGTTCTAGTGCTCAGTAGTAGGAGACCAGTTCTAGAAAGCAATTTATTTAGCCTTATAATATTCTAATTCCTCTATGCCGATTTTCCCAGAAGACCTTATTTATTCATAAGCATACATAGTTTGCAATTAATCACGTGTGTACTTAAGCTATGGATGTGTCTATCTATCTATAAATTTTGTATAATATGATGTCATGGGGTAGGACTGGATAAGTCTGACTTCTTCCTACTCCATTCAAACATGTAATAGGTGTAAGCAAACTGATTTTGAATTAGCATTGGTTGGATATGTGAAATCATGTGTGTTATTGTCATTTGTTCATTGTTCTGTTCTGCATGTTTGAAAGAATAAAATCAATCAAATAAACAAATAAAACGTTTTATGACATAAAATAATCACAAATATATTCCAAGCAGCTTTTCACCCTCATTTAAGAGCTGAATTGTATATTGTACACTTTTAAAAATATCTATGGTGATAACTGTGTGGTAAGGTTGAAAATTAAACTGTAGCAGCAACAAACCAAGTCACTGCCGATACCTTGAAGCCTTTGTCAAAACTACAGGATGTTTGGTGTCTAGTTCATGTTCTTTGCTTGTGTTTACACTTCTCAGCAGGTTCTATGCTCCGATTAAGGACTTCTGAAGAATAAGAAAGGGGCTGTGAAAATTTCCCCGGTCAGATAAGCAGTGTTACAAAACAATGACAGACTTCTTGATGAGATGCGCTGCCAAGAAATCTGCAAGAAACTCATCAACTGCAGAGGTGGCTGGGGCATTGCAGGAACGCCTCTACTCACCACACTGTCTAAAGGCCATCTCAGCTGTCTGCAGGCTCTGCTGGCCCACAGTACTCTGGTAGACTGTGTGGATGTACAGGCTCAGACACCTATCTTCACAGCTGTTCGTGGGAAATACCTGGACTATGTCTTAGCGCTCCTAGGAGCAGGCACCAACCCCAATGGGAACTCATCCAACAGCTGCTCCCCTGTCCTCACTGCTGCTCGGGAGGGGGATGTGGATATATTAAGGGAACTGCTTAAACACGGCGCTGAGGTGAACTCCCACTCCAAAGTCTTGCTGTGGAATTCCTGTGTCTGGGTGTCGAGCGGGCCGCTCTACCTGGCTGCTGTTTACGGACACATGGAGTGCTTCAGACTGCTGCTCCTCTACGGGGCAGACCCGGATTACAACTGCACGGATGCCAAGATGTTGAGTTTTATCAGGCAGCCCAAAACTGTGCTGGAGATGTGCCTCAGGCATGGCTGTGGCGTGGAGTATGTCCAGCTTCTGATCGACTTTGGTGCAAATGTCTACCTCCCCACGCTGATCATTGAGAAGTCCACGAAGCAGAATGAAGCCGTGGAGCTGCTTTTACGGGAAAGAGGTGTTGAAAAGATCCATGTCCCCTTTCAGTTCTTCTGGCACGTTGAATCACAACAAATACAAACTGAAGGCCACCGCTCAAGTTGAGCAGTTGCACATAACCTTGAGACTCACATTTAGGAAGTATTTATTACATTTTGTTAGCACCTAATTTATCTATTTTTTTCCTTCTCAACTTTTTACCATTACACCAATTAACAACAGTATATCCTGATAATAGTTTTACAGAGGTAGAAGCAGGGTCCAGTTGATAAACTGGTAATACTGTACATCAACTCCAGTTAATTTCTGGTGTAACTTAGACTGTGTTCTGATCTGTTACAGGCAAAGTAAACTGAACTAGACAAAATATAAACTTGTCTACAGGAAAGCATCCAATTCTGCATAGAGAGAGAGTGTAATTTGCAGCAATAAATGAATAATGAAGGGATGCTTACTTAAAGCTTTCAGTCAGAGAAACAATGGTAGTCTTCCAGTGGCTGGAATTGATCAGCACAATATGGCTGAAGGACACAGATTACATTATTTGTAATGTTTGATGTTAATAACAATAGCTCCTGAAGATGTCCCTTCCCACATGTATCATCCTCTGCGTTCCTTGCTAACAACTCATTTGCTGCCTTTTCCATCTGTTTAATCCAATCACAAAGATAAAATACAGCGTGACTGTATTTTTATGACTTGGTGATGGAGCTATAAAAACATTGCAGCAGGAAACCCATGGTACTGCTGCAGACATCACAAACAGCTATAAAATTGCCCTTGCAGCCCCAGCCAGATCCTGTTAGATAGCAGACATGAAACAAGAATATCACTGAAGTGGTAACTTTTTCTCATCTCCTGTGTGTCCAGGAAATCCAAAGGCTTTGACTTCACAGTGCCGACTTGCTGTCAGAAGACACCTCAAGAAGATCAACAAGATCCACTCTATCGACCAGCTGGAAATGCCAACAAGTCTCATTAACTTCTTGCAATATGACATAATCCCAGTCACTGTTCTGTAGCTACCTGAATGTGGAAGCATGTTAGTAAAATTCTTTTTTTTTTTTTCTGATTATGGACCCTTTGTATTTTTTATGACCTCTCTTTATGTGCTGTTCAGTTAACCTTCATTCTAAAGTGAGAACTAAGTGGTGTGTACTTCTGTTTGGTTATTAGTACTTAACCCTGTAGCTACTGAAAGAACTCTCTGAAGGAAGCTTTTTCTGTAAGTTGTAACATTTTGGGTTTAAAGTGCATTAAAATAAGTGCTATGACTTGGCCTAGACTCAGAATCATTTCAGAAATCAATCCAGTATTTTCTGAGACATTTCAATAGCACTCGCAAATGTGAACAACATGGTGGTGCTTGGGAGAAAGCCAGGGAACCACCAAAGCCCTGAAGGGGGCCATGAATATCAGTGCACAATGTTGAGATGTTTCCAAGAAAAGTGATTTTTATTTACTGGCGGTACTAGAGAAGAAGTCGGGGTAATCAGAGTCAACAAAAATCATCCTGTGGGGACCGCATTATTTAACGTTACCTCCAGCACTGCTTATAACCACCAACTGATTCCATGTTTGGAAAACCAATTACAGCATTTCTCAAGATAACCATCAACTGCTAAGGTTATACCAGATACACCAATAAACTGGTATCTCACTTTCCAGTGTAGAAAGGTTAGTGTTTTGGATAAATGAAGATGTGAACTCTTCTGTGTATGTGTTTGCCTTGACACCAGTCTTACCTGGCGCTCTCAAAAGTAGCAGATGAAGTCTTCCCGATGGCTCCGAATCCAACTCCCACAGCCAAGCCCTCTGCAAGTAAAAAATACAGACAATTGCCCCATGTCTTTGACTTCTCTGAAGCACTCGTCTGTAACGCAGGCAAAACAACACTGAGGACAGGGAAGGGACAACGCTGGCACAAAGTAGACAATAAGAAAATATGTGGCAAAAATATAAAAACTATTACAGGCCTGGAATGAAATGTGATTTACTTCACATAGTACAGGAAAGTTTTGATCTGCTCTTTCAGACAGAACACTGTGAATTACTTACTGATAAAACCTGCTAGTTTTGTATTCCATACTGAAAAAAGCAGAGGAACGTTATTGCACATACGTCAGACGCTAACTAGCAGCAAGGTTAGTACAACGCTAAAACCTGTTCACTTCCTGTTTTTGCCCCCCACATCTGACACTGAAGTATAAAATCATAGTAAGCATTAAGGAGATGTGCCCAGACAGTTGAATGGTTTAGTCTTGCTTTATACAAAGCTTTTTAGATCTACATTTGATAACATGTTTTTAATTCAAAAGTAAGTTCAGGACGGTTTCTTTAAAGCTTTTTACGCACCAGCACAAAGCTGCATCCATAAATCAGAGAAGGAAAAAAACAAAATGACTTAAATAAGTATTATTATGTTGAGATTTTTCAGGGTCTGTTAGGTCAGTGGCATTTTCATAAAAAAGCATGTTTTGTAAGTGTTAGGTCTCCAGAGAGAGGCCAAATGGATAAAACATACTGAATGCCTTAAAAACCATAGCTTGAAGAAAACTGAGAATCACTTGGTTGTTTAATTACATAAATACTTAACATTTAATTCACCATCAACCTCAGCATTTAAATAATTACACATAGATCACAACATGCGATTCATCAGACTGACCTGTAGATGGCAGGAGACGGTGCCCAAACAAGAAGAAGGCACCAGAAGATAGGATCAACTGATCCTGAGTTAGTTACACAACAGGAATGATGTCTGCAACTGATCCTCAGAAAAGTCAGAATGAAGTAAAACCAAACAATGGACAGATGAAGAGCATGCAGTTTGAAAAAAGTCACATTTGAACATTTTTCATATTTCAGTACACCGTGATCACATTGAGCTCTGCTGTTGTGCAGACCAGGATAGAACAGGGGTCAAAGAGGAGAAAGCAAAATCCAATCATTCTAATCAATCCCATAAATTACAAAATCAAACACCACACTTCAAGTAATGTCATCATGAGCAAAAACCAAAACTGGAAGAAGTAAACATGAGGACAGGGCATTCATTTAACTTTTTTGGTTTAAAATAATGTTTCCATAAAACAAAAACACAACAAGCTGCATCCTCCCAACAAACACCCACAAACAGTCAGGAGTATAGGCATCAAACCTGTATACATTTGTCCCTAAATCAGATTTCTGCCATTCGAGCAAAGTGTCAGCTGCTCTCATGACTGCTAACATAGAAATAAAACTTAAAGACAATTGTTCAAGTACAGACAGCGTGTTTTAAAAAACAGTTCCTGTTACTGAATTAATGAATTTCAAGTTGCAAAAATAAAATGACATCAACAAAGTGTTTCATTTGGTCCTCTTTTTAAAACGGAGGTCAGCATGACCAGGATGACGTCATGGTCACCGAGTGTTCTGTTGATGTGGAGTTGGTCATCATGGCGACCTCAGCTCAAACCCACATCTAGTGACATCATCACTACGAAGCCCAGGATGGAGGTCCAGGATGCCAGCTTCCCGTTTCCACTGGTGACATCAAGTCGGAGATAAGATGTTGAAAGCAAGTGCACATTTGCTGTTCTTTAACCCTTCTTCATTTACCCATCATCCTTCTTACCTGACTTGAGCCTCGGGTATGATGTCATCTACCACCACGTAGACCATCGCGCCGGCAGCAAACGCCAACGCATAGGGCAACAGCGGTTCTGCCAATACCACAGCGACTGCACCCAGCATCCCAGCAAGAGGCTCCACCATCCCGCTTAACTGGCCGTACCTGAGGAGAGAACCAGAAGGATCAAGTTACTGTATCGGAATTTAAATTGTGTTTGTATTCAACCCAAGCTTCTGCTAAGAGTTGGCTAATTACTGAACTCCTTCACACAGTGTCTCTCCCTACCAGAAGGCTCTCCACGTTGACACCCCCGCCCCCCGGAGTGGCAAGCTCACTGCCAAACCTTCTGGGAAATTCTGGATGCCGATACCGATGGCCAAATTCCTGAGGGAACACAAACAATAAACAGAAAGTATTAAACCTGGCCTCCTCAGGGCCTATATAGTTTGTCTGACAGATTTCGCTGAATGTAAAATGTGAAATGTTACATTTCTAGGATTCTGTTGTAATTATGAGTAAGCAAGACTAATCCTGTATTCTTATAAAAGAAGCAGCGTGTGATGTAAGCAGGTATTAGCTTATTAGTTTAAGCATGTCTGATGCCCCATTCCAGACAAAGACATACTGTATTACATTGCAGGAATCACATCAAGCAATCTCCTGCTTATCAACTCCCACACATCTCTGCAGTGTCCTGATGTAACCACAAGATGTCAGTATATGTACATATGAAAAGTGTAGGTCCCAACTCCTCCACCTGTTATCTGGCACATTTTCAAGTGTGGAAAGGTGACTCTGCATCTGAATCTAGATCAGAGCTGGGTTACAAGCTTGTGTACCAGATGTCATTGCCTTCTCCGATCTCTTCAACATGTCAACAAGTCTGTTCATTGGTGCAATGTGAACTTTAAACCACACTGTTCAAACTCTCTCCAGTGTTAAAAAGGCAAATGTTTCTGTGCCCACTCAAACAGAGGGAAACAGCCATCAGCCAGCTGCTGCTCAATCCTTTGGACACCTCTCCTCACTAGGTAAGCTAATACTTCCTCCAAATAATGTGTGCTTTCATTCCCATTTGTTTGTTACATGGATGATTTTTAGAAGAAAAAAGTCATTAGGCTTTAGTGTGAACCCAGGAATCTTTGGATAGACATGTTAACACAGACACAGGACATTTTGGAACCTTTTTACAGATGTCATGAACTTCTGCACTTGAAATAAAAGAGTGTGCCACACATATCACATGGTTATATTAGTGTGTGTTTTGATATGCTGTGTTGTATTGTTTTTTATGCCAATCAAATTCAGATGTGAATTACACACACACACACACAAAAACCTCAAATCAGTTAAAGTGGGTGTGTGTGTGGTTGTTTGTCTACATGTTAGCCCTGTGATAGACTGGTGACCTGTCCAGGGTGGACCCCGCCTCTTGCCCAGCGTCAGCTGGGATTGGCTCCAACCCCCCATGACCCTATTCAGGAATAAGCGGTATAGATAATGGATGGATGGATGGACTTGTATTATTAACACACAAGTACATCTGTGCCTGTCACAGTCATGACTGGCTTTGTAAGACTGATTTGCATTCTGAAATTGAAATACTCTCACATTTTAGGAAATGCACAATTTCTTGCTGTGATTCAGATGATAACATTTATACCACTCTCAGGTCTGTCTATTTGATATGAAGTTGAAGCCAGCTGCTGATTACCTACCTTAGCACAAAGACTGTTTAATTAACAGAGAAATTGGAAAAGGGCAGTTAGTGGTGTTACTGGGGCTTACAAGTGGGACCTATAAGAAATAGGTCGATTCGAGGAAGTCACTGCTCCTGGTCCATAAATATTCCTGCATAATGCTCTCATAACTGTCCATCAAACAGGAAGCAATAGGAAGGAGAATGTTAACTTATTGCACAGGCCAGAAACATGGGAAATTTGCCTCTGTCCTGGCTCCTGTACACATGATGCATACGTTAGCAAACTTTTAAAGTGCTAGTCTGCAGGAAATTGTAAGAGACAGAACTGTTTATAATGCTAAGCTAAGATAACTGTCTCCGGTAGTTTCACACTAAAAGCATAGATGAGGGAGATGAGAGTGGGACTTGATCAGTCTTCTCATGTAAGGACCCGGTTATGCTAATACATGAAGCTTGGCAGTTTGGACACTCCAACAAGCAGTTCTATTGTTCTGCAGAGGACGTGCAAAACTGTAGGGCTCCATCAAATTCAATTAGGAAGTGTCAATGCACTTCATGACACAGTCTTCTGCTATTATTGCTCCAGGAAAAGAAAATGGGCCAGTCACAGTCTCCAGAATGGCGACTAGCACAACTTGACGAGTTCTCCGATGCACTGTTCAACTCACAACAGTGGGAGGGTTTTGGAATTGACAGGTAGGCACGCTCGCAGGGCAAAGACAAATGCACGTCTGTGTTTAAGGCAATTTCAAAATATCACTCACTTCTATGTGTTGGCTCCATAACCTTTTACTTATTAATACTCCACTAGTGACAACAACCCAACAATTTAAATGACTTTAAACAAAAATGACCATTTTAATCATTCATCCATGTTTTTAAATTGATTAAGTTGTTTAAACCTATTTTAGTGCCTAATCAACACATTTTTGTTCCTAAGCCTAATTACATATTGTGAATAAAACAAGTGTTTGTTGCAGTAGCCATGACAACAAAGGTCTATGGCACGATAATGACCCAGTGAGACTCTTAATAGGTGGAGTAGGGACCTCCTAAGCCATAACTATGGTGAAGTGATAATGGGCCATTGAATGGCCTGACATTTGAATTGTGTGCACATACAACCTTTCAGAAAACTGTCAATACAAACACAATCTGACAACGTAAAAGATAAGATAAACAACAGTGGAAAACCGTGATAAATAAACAGAATAAAATGTGTTTTACAATAGCTCTGAAGTAACTAGGTGAAAGTTAGAATTTCATTGTTTGTCAAATATAACTCTCCACTCAGCTCCCTGCTAAGATACTCTGGACTCAATTCAACGCAAGTGCTGGAGGATTACAGAGATCACGTCCTATACAGCGGAGACTTAAGCCTGACTGCGTCCACTGCAAACAAGCTGGGTTCTGCACTGGGTGGGCTCACGATGGTGCCTAACGCTGTTGGACTGGGGGCTTTCATCATTTCCATGATTTTAGAGATAGTTGCAAGTACCTTAGGCAAACAAACCTTGGGCACGGCTGAAATGTTGCAGAGGGTGTTTGCACAGGAGAAGGCCAATGAGGTGAAACCCTGACCTTACCTCAAGCTATGAAGGTTGTCCAGTGTAGCCAAAAGTTTTAAATGACTCACTAATGGTATGTTTCATTAATGTTAGCATTCCAATTAAAACACTCCACTTATCATCTTAAGAAAACATTAACACTCATTACTTTTTTAACACTCAAAATGTGCTGTCATGAATTTGAACATTCCACTCCTGGACTGTGGAGGTCCGAGACCTGATGGAGGAGTATCTGAAGCGTCTGCAGATCAACCTGGGGAACCCACAGGTTCAGCTTGCTGAGACCAAGCACATAGAGATTGGTCTCAGTGTCCAGCTCACACGATTAAAGGTGCAAAGCAACTGAATAACACAATATTTTAAAACTTATAACTGTGAATTGTAAATAATAACCTTTAAAATAAAAGAATGTAATTTCTTTCACCTGCAAAACATGAACATCTATCTTAATTCCAATATGCTGTGTGGTTTCTAAGAATTCCATGGTGAAGGATGGACATATGAACACCGCGTTTCTCAAGCAGTGGGTGAACGGAGCCGCCTTCCACATACAGATGTTGGTGCATCAGGCTCGTCTAGAGCGAACAAATGGGTCCAGAGCCTTTCAAGCAGCGGGGGTGTATCAGCAACAGCTCAACCTTCTTCTGGAGAAATACAAGAGCTACCTAGGAACAGTGGTATATGTGAGGACAGGATATGATAGGGTGTCCTTTTATTGTTGTCTACACTACACAGAGACCTATTCGACCCAACTTAAATGTACCAGGCATATGTGTAAGGACATGTTCACTGACAGTGAACTAATTGAGGTTATGTTTTCTAAACCTCCGATTAGTTGGGCAAAGAGCTATTTTTCAGACCTCCAGACAAATATTCCAGCTCTTGTAAGACAACACAGCACATTTCATATCCACACCTGACACAGGCCATCTACATTTGTGATGAAGTCTTGTGCTGATTTACAGGAGAAGTCTCACTAAATTTGAAGTTCCAATAAATGATAAATATGAACTGAATAAATATGATTCGTTGTCTTTTTTTAAACACAGAGCTTTTGATGAAGACATTAGTCCTGGAGTATTTACAAAAGCCCAGCGACCTTAGAGACTGAGGCTGGGGCCTAACCCTTAGACATCATGCTGTATAGTCTTGCAGATATTCAATAAGCCATTTTAGCTGCAGTGACACTGAAAGCCCTCAATATAATAGCAGGGCTTTTGCCATCACAGCAGCCAATGTATTACTTGTTACTGTGAATTAAAAGTAATAAGTTACAAAATTACTTTGTAAAGCAGTAGTTACTTTCTAAGTTACTTATGCATTACTCTGACAAAGCCTCTCTGTAATGGCTTACCTGCCTATGCATAGACTAGGTCAGAATGTGGCGAATGAGTTTTTTCGCACACTGTTTGCATGCAAACAATGAATTCACACTAAAGTACGGACCATCAAGAATCAAGAATATTTATTTTCATTATGCATAGCACAACACATTTTTTTCCAGCAGCTCTTGTTCACCCACATCTCCCCAAAAGTTTTGGCACACACTCTGGATTAATTAACATTACAAACAAAGTGTGTGAAGAAACAGCGCACTCACTGGTTTGTAAGTAAAACGGAGACTTCACATTGTGATCTGTAGTGAGAGCAGAGAGCAGGTGGAGGAACACCTGGAAAGGTGGAGGTCTGCTCGGGAAAGAAGAGGAATGAAAGTCAGTCGTGGTAAAACAGAATACATGTGTATGAACGAGAGGGAGGGAAGTGGAACAGTGAGGTTAC